ATCTGTAAAATCAACATCTGGACTATTCTTTGGATCAAATATAATATTTCTTATAACCATATTCTAAACTTACAAATTTAGGTGAGTCTTGACCATTCTAGTAGGTTTAGGTCACAGATAAATATGTCTGAGCTTTTATTCTTGAATGTAGTTGCTTTTATTTGTACTTAGAGTAGCTATATAGTTAGCAGTTTAACGGTTTACCACTGACTGCAAGTGTTGGTTTTAGCCATAGCATTTATATAGAAAATTACTTTTTGTACGTAGCTACTAATTTTTAAACTACCAATAAAGATACGAGCAAGGCCTCACCTTAATACCAAAAAAAAAAAATAAAAATAAAAATGATTATAAAAAAATAAAAAAAAACTCTTTTCATAAATCATTTTTATACAAAAATAACTAAAAATTCGTCAGTACTAAAATTGTTAATATCTGGTTATTTTATTAAGATAACTAACTTTGGCATCTTAAGTAACTTGTTTAGCTACTATTTTTATATATATTCTGAAAGTCTTAAAAAGATAGCTCTCAAACTCACAGTTTAATACTGCAATAATGGACTTTGGACTTCTAAACTCTTTCTTTAATTATTTCTCACAACTAGCTTTACAACCTACTCTATAGTCCTAAGAAAATTGTAGAGCTGAATCCTTCGATCAAAACAAGGTATAAACAAACTCAATAGGCCTAATATTAACAGAGATATCTTAAATAATAGCTTTAACTCTCTTGTAAACTCCTTAAAAAATTCTTTTTCATTTATCCCCAACTTTTTTTTTCTTACATGATTTTTGTGTAATATTAAATCATTACTACAATCATTTTCATAATAAACCAATTAATATTATTTAAAATAAAATACAAAGTTTTATTAGTTTTTCTTTTTTTACTAATTTGATTTTGTATACTATTACAAGTCTTTTTTGGAATATGTAACTGAATTGTTACATTAAGCCACACTTGCCACACCAGCCATACCTTGTACTATATAAGTTATACAAAATTATTCTCAAGATTATACAAAGCTGTAGTAGTCGCAGTAGCCACAGTATTACATTATACCTTTGTTAAGCCAACCCTCGCTGTTATAAATTTTATATATTAAAAACTTCAATAGTTAATAACAAAAAATTTTACTAAGTAATATTAATTTTCATCTTTAAGTAAATCTGTAGTATTTTTTTTTTCTATCAAATAGAATGCCTACTTTGACTTCCCAAGAGCCAGATCATTTTGATCTTGACTATTTCTATAACAAGTATAATGACTGTTATGGTACAATGATTAGAGAAGTGCAACCTACACAACTTAAAGTAATGCCATTTGTATTTAATCTATCTGAATTCAATATTGCTAAATTCCTTTACTATTATAAAACCCCTACTCAACCTACTATTGTCTGCTATTATTGTCAAAAATTTCATACTCTCTTTATTTCTAGCAATATCAACATTCTACCTAGACAAGCAACCCCTTCTCCTTCTTCCCAAAAATCTACATATATGAATATTGATATTATACCCAAACAAGTCAAACAACTTAAAGAAATTATCTCCAATTACCAATTACAAAAACAACTACTATTCCTCCATTACCATTCCCTTTAAACTATTCTATAATTCAGCAAGAAACTTCATTTAGTTCAAAACAAATCTCTCAAATCCAAGCACATTCTTATCATACATATACTTGTATTATTTGTCAAAATAAAAACATCTTATATGTTTTCTTAGAAAATAATACATACTCACTTTTCAACAAATCTATTCTTATTATTAAAGAATTTCTAGCACATCCTAAATGTATTCATAAATTTAAACTCAAACCTATCATTAAAACCAAAACACTTATTTCTATACAAATTCAAACTGTTTTTGTAATTAAATTCATTATATTACCTAAAGAAAAGAAAATTTTAATTTTTAAAAAATTTCTAGGAATATTAAAACAAAACAAAATCAATAAAATTAACCAAAAACAACAAAACTATATCAAAAACAATCTATTATCAAAAATCCTCTTACTTCCAAACTTACACTTTTTACTTCTACTTCAGATAAAACAAGTAATAATGAACAACAACAATCTTATAGTCAAGCAGCAAGACCCAAACTTAACCTATCTTTTGACTGATTAGCAAACTTCCCAGTTACTGATAAAATGCAAAATCATACAAAATTAGAAACTGAGATATCATGTCAACTCTTTAATTTCCTTAAAGAACACCTATACAATTTTTATCCTGATAAAGTTCTTAAAGAAGCCACAGAAACTAAATATGTACTTAAAGCTAGTTTCTATTTGTTGATTAGACAAATGACTAGTATTAGACCAAAATTCCTTATTAATTTAATTCAAAAACATAATTCTGAAACTTATAAAGCTATAACAATTTCTTTTAATATTTTAGAAAAAAGCCTTAAAAAACTTATTCACATATTTACAACAGTTTTCTTCACTAAACTCAACTATCCTAAAATATTTGCCTCTCTTGCAACAATTTCACCAATTAAAACTGAAAATCATTTACAATTTTGTCTCAATCTCACTTACTTACATTTATATCTCTCTAATAACTATCAAGCAATTAACTATACAAAATTTGCTAAAGATATTAAACTTAGACCTAAAAGGTTTAAAATAACATCTGAGGTTACCGATTTTAACAAAGAACAACAATATCTTTCTATCAAAATGGACAATTGCTTCAACATCAAATTGAATTTTAATCTTCCAAAATCTCTTTTTCTTGACAAATATAATATACCATCACTTAAAATCCCACTTAGTCATTTTAATGAATAGTTTGAAAAAGCCTTCCCATTATATAGACAATAATTTTCTAATATAATTAACAATACCAAAGTATCTAACTATCTTAAATATGAATTTAGATAACACTTTATCTCACATCTAAAAAACCTTCTGCCAACTAACTTCAAATTCATAAAACCAACTAACCTTCAAGAATGATGTCATGAAACCTTTAGACATGCCAACTATTATGTACTTATTTGTATAGACTCTAAATGTCCTTACCTTGAACCAACTGATACAAAAGAAAAAAAAAAGAAGCTGATACTAACTTAAAAAAAACCTTTATATCACAACCTATACACAACTCATCTACACTTATTAAAGATATATTTGAAACATCTTACAAAACCTAGATACTGAAACATGAAATGAACCTTTTCTTGACATATCTATATTCTACATTAAAGGCAAACATGAAACCATATTTACAAAACCAATCCCTATTTTAACCCTCGATGAACTAGCAACAAAGGCAGAAGAGTATACTTGTTCTTCTAATGCTGTTAAAACTAATCCTAAATGACAAGACTTTTTATTTTTATCAATATTTATCTATATATCATAATACAGCTGCTCAAAACCACAATATTGACAAAATGGATAAACAACAAGCCATCGAATTCCTTTGTAACAATACTATAATTTCTCCGTAATTTTTCTTTTTCATTATTTTTCTAAGTCTTTTCTTAATTACATGCTAA